CAACTCCGCCCACTTCTGGGATTTGTCCCAATTTGTTCTTTTTCACTTTAACACCTTTTCACCGCATCTCAGAACGTCTCTGAGTAGAGTTATAATATAGCCCAAGCCGCGCCCGCTGCAGCGCCAACCCCGCCCACTTCTGGGATTTGACCACATTTGTTCTTTTACACCTTAATACCTTTTTGCCGCATCCCAGAATGCTTCTGAACAGAGTTATAAATTTTTGATCTAAGCTCCACCCACTTTGGTGCCAACCCCGCCCACTTCTGAGATTTGGCCACATTTGTTCCATTACCTCTAACCACTTTTTCCGGCATTCTAAAACGTTTCCGAGCGAAGTTACACTCATTTTTGTAAAGAAGCTTTCACCTTAACGCACGCCCCGCCCATTGTGGGCGGAGCTTCGCTAAGCTTACGCATGCCCAGCACGCATGAGGCCTTGCTCACCCTTTTTATTATTTTCCTGACCTCGACGCCTTCGTTGAATCGAGTTATGAATCTCTGTGAAAAGTACCGCCCGCTGCGAGAACGCTCCTTCCTTTGTTTTAGTTATTGACCCATCCCTCACCTTTGCACGTTTTTTCCCGGCATCTTTTCTCGGACTGTTATGAGACCGAATGAGAAGAACAGCCCATGACCCCGCCCCATTCCGGCTCATGCCCCGCCCCTTGGGGGCGGAGCTCCGCTAGGCTCACATGTGCTCTGTTGCACTTACCCTATGCTCAACCCATTCCAAACTTGACCCGACTTCTCCAGGTGTTTCTTCAGATGATACTGAAATTTGCGACGACAAACAGACAAATAGACAGACAAACAAACAGACACACCAAGGATGTGGTTTATATATAGTAAGGATACCACTGTACCGAACAGATTACCGAACCGAGCAGCTGCTGTGCAGCTGTGGCGCAGCTGGTAGGATGATGGATAGGTAGGCATGAAATCAAGATTCGAGTCCTCGATGCATGCGGAGAACGCCTTGAACGCTTAGAAGAGGTTTTTGGACCCAATTTCGGCCAACTACGGAACTCCCTCTTATTCTAGGAATCCGGGGAGTAGTAAACCAATGAAAAAGCTTCCACCATTACTGACCAAAGAGATGCGCCTCTCTACCGAGAACACTCACCATGGTGTTTCGATGACTGTTGACCCACCAGTGAACCTCTTGAGACGATACCGAAGGCATAACCTATCGGTATCTTAAGCGCGCAATCAAGTGGTAACCTAAGTATTTGTTGGAGCGGTGCGCCCTTTCATCACGTTGATTTATTGTACTCTTACAGGCCATTAACGACCCACTATCGAGCGCATTCACTCGAATATGAGCTAGCAGATTTATGTATTCGGTTGAGTCACAAGTCCTCGGACAATGTGATAGTGATGACTTCTAGGGATCACAGCTCGGGAGAGAGGTGAAGAAAATGGACGCGCTAGGCATAGTTAGATAGAGTATAAAAAGCTCTTCCAAATACGTTTTAAAGTATACTTCCGACCGTTTCCTGTGCTCGAGCGTGAGAAGAGAAATTGCCATGTCGGCGCGGCAGTCCATGTCATACTGCTTCAGAGCATGAGGCACCCATCGACCGAGCTTTCGCACCTTGCCGGTTGACTTCAATCCACGAATAACTGTGGACTGTCTCCCCAAGGGTGACTGCCAGTTCACGAGTAGTTTGATACGGATCGGCTTCCACCTGGCTTTGCAGCACGTCCAAATCCAACTCCATTGAGAGTCCCGGATGGTCTTCATTTTCGATGGAATAGTCGTCCGACGTGAACTTCATGTGCCACTTGTAAATTGTGCATCCAGCAGGAGCAACCTTCTTGTAAATTTCCTCCATACCTCTATCGATCTCCGCGGGTTCTTGTCCAGATAAAAAAGAAATAGGATGGTGTTGCGGGGGTGGAGTTGCGACGGCTTGAAATCATGGGGCATGGATCAGGAAGGGAAACAGTTAGGTGTGTTCATTAGTATTTTGAAGAGCTTTCCATACTCTATTTAACAATGCCACGCGCTTCCATTTTCGTCTCCTATTCCCCGAGTTATGATCTCTAGAAGTCATCACTATCAATTTGTCCGAGGACTTATGACTCAACCTAATATTTACGTCGATCACTTTATAGGTCGTGATAAACGGTTGCACCTGTACAGTACAGTTCATTGGTCAACTACCAAAGCTGGCATTTTTACAAAAAAATACCGTGGAACAATGGTTGATCGATTTATGCGCACATACGATAATCCACTACTTGTCAAGTAACCATTTCTTGAAGCAGATTTGGTGATACGATGGGACATGATAGTACCGCTCCACTCAAAACCCTGAACCCACCTACAACTTGCTTTGAAGCTAGCCTTTACGAGGACTTCATTGTTAATTTCAAGCATCATCCGGTGAAAATGACTGTTGTGCAATATTACTTGTTTTGACTTGATGCTTTGTTAACTGCTGTTAACAAAACCTGCTGTTAACAAGCCGCAGTACGCGATGCGGAAAAGACACAAGGTTAGGAGTTATGCACAAAACTTCGGCCTAGGACGGGACTCGAACCTGCACCTGTGCTACCAAAACCCTACTTACCCTCGCCTTCTTGAGTGGTCTCAGTAGTGTAAGGGATAGAGCATGGTGCCCGGATTACAAAAAGACCGAAGCTCTGTCCATAACTTGGTAACCTTGTGAAACTGTCGTGCTTTACTTTAGCTAGTTTATATAAATGTTATAATAACTTATCCATTCAAGTTAATCTAATCTGAGTTAATCTCCATAGACAGACAGACAGTTGTTTTGCACCTGATAGTAACAACCAGATAATACATCAAAACTGTCGAAAAGAGACTAATTCGAAAGCTCATGGTCTCCCTCACTCACTATCCTTACTATATATAATCCACAAGTTTGGTCTGTATGTATGTATGTATGTATGTATGTATGTATGTATGTATGTA